AATTCAAAGAACTTTATTGTACTTACCTAATATGTGGTCGCCAATGAAATCTTACAGTGATAAAAAACGGTAAACATGATTTAAAAATTTTGTTTTTTTCCTTTTCGTCATTTCAACTGGTTTTCTCCATGACTGCTTTTGAAAGTACTTTATGAGCCGTTCTTGCCACTGCTGCTTCTTAAACCTTCATTCTACGTGACATCTTTTTGTCCTTCATTTTGCTCATTCCTACCTGCTCATAGGAATCAATATCTAGCTTATTCTTGGGCTTACATATAATATCAAATTCGACCATGTTTCTTATTTTATGATTTATCTATTTGCGCGTCTATTGCTTATTAAAATTTAATACTTATTTTTTATCAAATGGCCTAACTACAGATTAAGTCTTTTAAACGCAAGTATCCGGATTTGTCTCGTCGAACTATGGACGCTTACGAACGCCATTGGCTCCACTCTGAGGGTTATGTATCAGCAGCAAAGGCCGAACTTGGACTCACTGCTTTGCGTAGTGATGAAGTCTTGAGTCTTCTGCAGACTGACTATTCTGAAGTCCATTCTTCCCTCACTGATCTGTTCAGATCTAGGCGGTTTCATTCATTGGTTGAAAAGCAAAGAAAGAATTATGAGGTTAGTTAGATTTATATTAGGTATGATTATTTGAATTTGTTAATACTTTATCCGCAGCTGTAGCCTGACTATGATGACGCTAATATTAGCTTTATTGTATTCCATAATTTACAGCTTAGTTATACCACATACTTTATTAATTCTTTAATACGTGGATCATTACTTCAAATAATTATCAGAATTTCTCTTAATTGCCTTGTCAATGAATACTTCACATGTTTCTACGTTTATGGAATTCTGAATTTATTAGACTTAAGTTTTTCAATACTTTACATATGATAAAGTTAGCAGTAATTAACTAAACCAGGTAATATAACCAAAATCCCTCAGTCTTTATTCTGAGTACCTTCCTACTAATAGAGCTAATGGATACAAGTTTTTTCATTTTTCTCTTACTTTTT